TAAATAAATAAATAAATAAATAAATAAATAAATAAATGTACTATTTGCATTAGTATTTTTGCAATGTGCAATGAGCATTTCTACCCAAAACATGTATTTTACTATAAAATAGTACAGATAAAAGGAAAAACAAATTTCTATTTCAAAGAAAAAAATGAACAACAATGAAGGACTGCCAGAATAATGCGCTATTCACATCTAGCTTTTAATCTGATAATGTAAAACATTTTGCCCAGTGCCCACAAATTCAAAGTATTAAGTCATAGTTTCCGTTTTTAGCTTGGTACTTAAAAATATGTCAAAAAGTCTGAAACCTCTAGTCCTGAAACGGCACATTAATCCAGGATTGTTATCACAATTAAATAAGGCACTTGATTCTCTGATTCTTAAAAACACTGATTGAATTTGAGAAAAAAAAAAAACGTTTCAACCCAATTCAATCATCCTGGGTACTCTTCAAATTTAGGCCTATCCTCGAATGCTGGAGCGTTCTGACACTGCATGAGGCAGCCAATGGCGAAGCATGAGGAAATGGTCCTGGAAGGCTGTCAGGCAGGGAGCAGTGAATGACCATATATGGTAAAATCTGCAGTCAGCAGGAATGAACAGCAAAGGCAAAGACAGGCAACTGAGAAATCGAGGTTTTTAAAACACAAAACTGACCGATGTGCTTTAAAATGCCTTGGAAATCAAAATACCTATTGTCTTTTTGCATTAAAACAAAACAGAGTGCAGCCTAAAAATCAGTAAAGTTGGATGTCAAAAAACAAAAAGGAGGACTGTCTGACTGTACACACACCCTGGAATTATTTAAAGCAAAAGGTCGAGCCCGGAACTAATGAATCATGAAAAAGACTGAATCCAAATCAAATACGAGGGGGAACACCAGGCAAACACAAACTGCTTGAAAATAACTACACTTGAAACACTATAACACACTTCTGTGTATGTATAAATCAAAGTCAGATTTATGAGTAAAGACTCATTTGTATTTGTCATAATTTACTTATACTTCCTCTTTAAAGAGGATAGCTTTTTAAGAATCACTAAATAACTGCCAGTTGCCATCACTCCCACAATTTCCTTCATATGGAAATTAGTGAATAAATTAGCTGGATTCCAGCAACGAATGAGAAAGGGAGATTGAAAGCATGAGGGAAAGAGGATGACATGTGTTTAGCTTGACATCTGATCCCTTCTCTATATATCCTTGTGCTCTGACAGGATGAAGCAACAATACTCAAAGCTGTGCTGAGTCAGGGCAGCCTGACGCACTAACCCACATCCCCGTGAGTCAGACAAAGGGCCACCCCCCATCACCTGACTACTCAAATGAGGCTCAGACTTTAAGCTCAGTTGCGGATCAACTAGTGATTTCAAATTTATAATTAAAAATAAACACAATAATAATAATAATAATAATAATAATAATAATTTGAAGGGGGGATGGAGCATCACGTTTTGCCCCCCTTAAATGCAGTGAAGTAATGACAAAAGGTTGAACGGGGAGTAAACATGGGACAAAGACTGAGCAGTTGGCTGTCCACAGAGACATATGAAAAAAGCACAAGGTTAGCTGGACAAATGTACTCACATTAGAAATAGGACAGAGTAACAATGTTGAAAAACATTGGGGATTTATGGCTTAGAAGAAAAAAAACAATGTAAACTGTCTTCAGTCAAGCCAAATCTTATCCAGACAGCAGCTCAAAACTGACAAGTTATGCAATTTGTTAAAATTGTTTTAATAGTAAATGTGTAAATACCACCATCCTAGTGTATTTCCACATGGATTATTAAAAAAAATGCCCTATATGCAGAGATTAACTTTGGCAAAGACAAAGATGATTAATATGGTAGTTCAAAGCACTGCAGTTTAGGCTGCGTTGGCACTACAATTTTTTTTTTGCTCTGCCTTTTTTTTTTTTGCATGGTTGTTCAAATGATAATTTAAATGCAATTTCCAGCAGACTTCAGTTTGAACCATTTACAATTCTGAGGCGAATCGCAGAAGAAAAGCTGATGTCATGTGTAGCCAACAGTATTTTAAAAAAGTAAAAATGGATGTTGCACATGTTGGAATGTGTGAATCAATTCTAAAGTTATTGTGCAATCAAATAATTATAACATGTTTGTTTGGTCCCGTGGTCATATTGGATCTTGCCTTGACGGCTTCTCCTGTGCAGCATTGTATTTTTGGACTTGAAATGACATACTGAAAGTAGAAACAAACTCAAGTATCAATCCCATCACRTCAGTATCAATAACGTCCGATACGAACGTTGGTCTTATCGGTTGCTGTAGATCAGTCATCCAGGACATGGCAAATTTAAAGAATCAAGACGAAGCAACGACTTCTGCTCTGCAGCTGAAGATGGTCCCAAGATTTAAACTGCACAAGATTTGTATCATTATTAGTGTTTGGATCAATCTGCTTATCCCTACTTTGATGATAAAAAAGTAGGATGAAATACAACTGTTTAGGCCAAGGTTGCTTTGAAAAACATCAAAGATGCATCTGATTTAGTACCACATAGGAAAAAGACCTGGGTTGAATTTGAAAAAATAAATAAAAATGATTTGTCATGTTCAGATTGTCATGATAAAAGTTGATAAGGGTCGCATAGGTGCAAAAGAAAATAAATAAAATAAAAAATAAAAATTTAAAAATACAAAAAAATGAATTTGGGTCACATTTGCATGCAGCGTGAACGTAGCCTACTGTTTCTGGTAAGAGACTTGTCCCACTTTTGAGACCTGCATGGCCAGCTGAGGCTATACTGAGATTTCCAGATGGGACCTTCATTTAAAAACAAAAAATAATTCAAAAGTAGCACAACGATAAAGATGAAAAACAAAAAAGGGATTTCCCATTAACTTGTTAGAATTTAAAGCTTATTCTAGGTACTGAAGACTGTTCAAAGCCTGGACTGCTGAAGTAAGAGGGTTTTCCCGAAGGACTGGTTTGTCAACCACACCAACTAAAATGCAGAGTAATCTAAAAGTCAGAAGTGCTTTTTTGCCTCTCACTTTAGGTGAATTGCCTGAAGTTCTTTCTGCACATAGCAGAAACCTTATAATCTTACAACAGTTTATTTTAGTATAAGTAAAATTCTCCAGAGGAATTTTTGTTGTCTAAAGACACAGCACGAAGAGGGCAACTCACACATAAATTTACACAAAGACAGCGGCAGGAGGAGCGTGAAAGGATTGAGCTGACAGGCCACCTCCAATACAGGTTCTGCATTGAACGAGGTGCTGAGAGGAGTAAGCTACGTGATGACAGGCCTGAGGATCCGGTCGCTGTGTCAGAGCCCTCTCATATGACACGGCAATGTAGTTCTGTACACTAATTACAGACAGAGGGTTGATCTGTCAACAGCACCACAGTGCTTATGTCACTCACAGTGTTAGGAACTGCCATTTGGCCAATGCTTGAATCTGATAAAAAAAACACAAGGCCAGCCATTCCCCACTATTAAATCTAACGTCATTCAAGAGTTCTCTGGGGGGAAAGATAAGCTATTTTAAATATCACTCTGACCTCTGTTGCACCTTAATTAATCCCATTATGACAACAGGTTTGAGACAAAAAGGAGGTTTGCAGAACTCACTCAGTTACCTTGTTTGACAAAAAAAAATCCCTCTTCTGATGCAGTCTTGTCCAACCAGAATGTAAATCTGAGGAGGGATTCCTTATATGGAGACAAGAATCAGGAGACAGTTGGCTCCAGAGCTTTGGAGTCGTTTCTGTTTTCCACGTAAAAGGAGGGGCGTGTCTTTGACAGCCTGCTGGTAAACATTAATCCCAGAATACGTTGACATGCAGCGTCAGCACCACTGTAAGAGTTTAAGTTTTTTTATGCAAACGACTGCTGTACACAACACGTGGAAAACTGATTCTAACTTTTAACAGAGATGATTTTCTTTTATGTCAGTCTAAATATATCGCTAGTCAAACTATCCTATGGAGGTAATTCTGGTGATCCACTTGTGCACACAGTGACTGAAATCACATTCACACAACTCAAACTTACCTTCTGAAGAGGGAGAACGAGGAAAGCTCCACCACCACTTGCCTCAATAATTATGGCAACAAACTTGGGGTTGACAGCACAGAAGGCGCTGTCCCATGTGACCCTTGAAACTCGAATGTCATCGTAGCACTGGTCATTTTTCACCGCCTGGCCAAAGACGTGACGGAATTTGCTCTGCCGTACAACTCGTCTCATATCTGTGAAAAGTGCAGTAAAGAATCAACATTTTGAGTTTAGTTATTTTGCAGAAATAAGTTCAAAATTCTAAAACAGCATCATGATCACATGTTTTGTTTGTTTTAAGGATCACATAATTTTTGACTAAGATGTGGTACACGTTCAAACTTCTAATCACACAACAAACATCTTTTTGTTTTCACAGAGAAGTTAATTTTTCCTCAAATGTCTTTATTGGTGCCAAATATTTAACAAGAACCAAGAGCATTTATCTCTGGAACAGGAACAAAAGTGCCACTTCCAGAGGGGGATTTGACATTCCCAATCCAAACAAAAACAGATTTTGTGGCTGCTTCAGTGAAAATCTTCACCAAGACAACAATTTGCTGGCAGATGAGTGCTTTGGAAAACATGTTAATTTAAAAAGGCTGGAGTCTTACTGCTTTGCTTACAACAACAAGGCATTTTCAAAGATAATGGAAAGCTGACAAACGTCAGAAAAAAAATCTTAAATAATCAGGTGTAGCCTCACCTCACAGCAAGTTTAATTTCTCAAATGACAGCAAAGGTCCTCTTTTTTAAAACTTCTCATTCAGCATATGGAAACAGTTTCCCCCGACCAAAGCACTGCACAGGATCTGGAACATGTCTCGAAGGTGGTTTTATTTTTTTGGTTCGTACAGTAAAAGAATAAAAAAGTGAACATTATTAATGTCAAAAATAACTAGTTCTGCATGCTAAGCAGTGAAAAATATGTCATTTCTTATCCATTTTCTTTAAATAAACAGGACTTAGATAACAAATTTTGTTGGGTTATTTGTTTTTAAGGGAATAGGTTGTAAGTATAAAGTTTTTTTTTTGTTCATGCTTGTCTCTACATACAGTACCCTAATCTGCAAGTGCATAAACAGTAAAAAGAAATCCCAGGGTTTAAAAAGCTGCTGATGGGAATACAAAGAGAATAGCTAAGCTACATCTGTTGAGGCAGGAAACACCCTCGGAAGTGGCTGTCATAAATTCAAGAGTTACTGTATTCTGTATTAAATTCAGGCTGCCACGTGGCATCTTCAGATAATGTTTTCAATTCCAACCCATGTCAAAGCATGGTTAAAAGTAACTAAATTTGGGAGACAATCTTATACACAGGCACATAAGCCGTGCGCAGGTGCGCATGCGCGATAAAAAAAAAAAAGCGCATCAAATGGAAAGTCATAAAGTTCACTTGCGTACCTAAGATTGTACCTGGGATTGTCTGTAAAAACAACAGCTAGCAGGGCTCTAGAGTGCGATGAGTTTGGTCACAAATGCGACCTGATTTCTTAAAAATAAATAAATAAAATCCAGCCGCACTGGTGTGACTGGATCGTTGTTTGGTGCTCACCAAGCCTCTAACAGCGGGACTCTGATATAAGGATTAACGGACACTGCTTTCAACAAATCAGTCAAAGTCCAGAAACGTTTTATCCAATCAGAGCAGAGCAGGGCGGGACTTTCAGTGAAAGCTGTTTTCAGCAGAGGCAAGCGCAGGTTGAAGCAGCGGCTGTAGCAATCAGTCCTGACATCTCCTCCTGTACTTTGTTTCTGAGCTACCATAGCCTGGCCCTAGCCTTCTTACGCAGCTCCGCTCAATTCTGGTTTCCCTTCACTGCTCCGTCTGGGACTTCTCCCATTGACAAGGATTTCGCTGGCAGATTTTTAGCCGGGCCAATCAGAGAACAGAAGGTCAATTTTCTGTGCTGTGTCCGCTTATATTTCATTTTACCTGGCCCAATCAGCAAACAGAAGGAGGAGTTTTGAACGACGCTGATTTTCTGCGCTGTGTCTGCTAGTTATTTTAGCATACGGCAGCGGAGGAAGTGAATGAAGCCAGTCCGTGTTGATAAGGCTTCCAAATTAAAATAAATTTGTCTGACAAAGCAGCAGCTCTCATTTACAGTCGTCTCGTTCGGCACAGTACTTCTCTGAGTAGGGTTGTTTACAGCACACGTGATTTCCGTTCAGTTAGCTTCTTAGCTTAGCCTCCGTCGTATGTATGTATATAATATATATATCTATATCTCTATATATATCTATATATCTATATATCTATATATCTATATATCT